TAAAACAGGAGAAAACATCACAATAAGGTCTGTAATGTTTGATTTAAAAGACTGATCATTACATTTGAACAGTACCTATTTAGCAGAATAATTAACTACAGTATTTCTGCTGCATTGAGCAGGAGCTGCAGGACCTGCAGAGAGACCCTCCAGCCCAGTGCTCTGCTGGACCAGTGGGGGATGACTGTGAGTACACACACACACATTTCATGTAACAATGTCTCAGTGAGTGGATTTGAAAGTGACAGCATCTTGCTGCTGGTGGAGTGCTTTATGGTTAATATGTGGTAATAGCACACAGTTGTGACGCAATTGCTTTGCATAAAACCAACAAATAAGACAGTTGTTTAAATACACGTTGTCCTAGAAATAGAAACAACAGTACCTACACGATGATTGTTCTGGCATTTTCATCTGTTCTGATAACAGGGACAAGCATAGGTAGTGGAGGAAGAGGGTTTGGAAGATTCCACTCCAACCTTTTAAATAATCCAGACACAGACGGTGACTGAATACAGAAGTGGCTGAAGCCGTATGATCAGCAGGTTAGAGCTGACTAGCTTCACCTCTGCCACCACAGAGAAAGCTGGACAGAGGCAGGAGCTTCTGTAGACACAGTGTACTGTAACTGATAGATGATGACTGATGAACATTGTGTCTGCTATGTTTACAGCTGACTTTTTTCATTTTTTTTTTCTCCCTTTATTGCTTCTAGTGTTTCATTGGCAGGCGACCATAATGGGTCCGGTGAGTATCACCATCACTGAAGGCTTTCCTTCCTCTCATACATACTACTACATTAAAAATGGTTACTTTGTAGATATGGGGACTTAAATTCTTTACCACTGATATACACCATCCTTAGTGAGGCTTTGTTTTGACTACTTTTGCATTTTCTTTTAAGTTTTACATTCCCTTATATTGTTTAGACTCAGTTAAGTTACACTGTGTAAGTCAAAGTATTACATACGGTCAAGCCACTGAATTGACTTTGCTGTGCCTGAAGTACGTATACCGGTAACTGTAGTGTGTTAAGCATCACTAGTGAATAACAAACAACTAACACTAACTAGTAACTAACTGTAAGATCAAAGAGACTTAAAAAGAAGGATTTTCTGTAGTCTGCAGTAGTGGTGAAGGGATACATGATGGATAAGTTCACATTTTAGATGCACTGTGACAATCACAGCCTGTGATTAAGGATGGCATTGCACTGGAATCCATAAGTGTTGTAATGTAATGCAAAAAGTAACACAATGGAAGAAGAATTAATAAACAAAGAACAACTGAACAGCTTTAAGTGGAGGCAAATTCTGCCAAAAAATGTGTAAGGGAAACATGGTTTCCACAGAGAACAGACTCGACAATTCTTCTGTAGAACTGTATCAGCTTTGTAACAGCAGTTAGCTAAAATGATCAACACTAGGCTTCAAAGTCCAGATTTCTCAAAGAAAGCCTGAATGAATTGAACTTTTTGATATACACCCCCTTCTCTCTGAAGGTGACTAATTTGCTGATTGTCAATCATCTAGTTCCACCTCAGTTGTTTTTAGTGTGAAATATTTTACTGACAAGTGTCTCACATCTTTTATGTCAGGGAGAGAGTCCTTACCAAGGAGGAGTTTTCTTTCTCACAATCCACTTCCCTACGGACTACCCATTCAAGCCACCAAAGGTAAGAGCCACTGTGGTGACTTCGGTCTTTGCCCTGTTATACTATGGAAATTATCATGGTGGTTGTGCAGTTAGGCATCCTTTTGGTCCTGGAGGTTTCTCCTATTTCATCAAATATGTAAGGAATAATTCCTGATAAGTTGTACATTTGATGAGTGCAAAGGTGCTTTGAATATAAAAAATGATATTGTAATAGTTAGCGAAACTTGGTATATTAATTGTGTTGAATTGGTAGCCATTTTCTGTTTAGCTGTGTGATGAGATTATACCAGATGGATAATGTAGCCTGCGGTGTACAGGCTGGTAGGATCCAAGGTAGCTGGGAGTGACAGTAGCAGCAAAAGCTCTGTTTGAAAGCACATTAATGGATAACACCGGGGCCAAGAACAAGTACAAGGTGGCTTTCCTTTGTAATCCATTACAGTCATGAAAAACACAAGTTGGATGTGTTATCTCAAATCATTGCCCCTCACTGACAAAATGCCATACAGTTCGAACTAAGTATTTTTTCAAATAAATGTTTTGTATTTCTTCAGGTTCTGTTCTTCAGCACAGTCAGTTTGAAGTAAAATAATAGTTTCTACATGATAGTGCCAAGTCTCGCCTTTAATTTTGAAGGTTTATGTAAATATATCAAGAACAGTGTGAGAGAGTATAGCCCTTTTATCACATAGTGGACAAATCTTGGGTGTTCAAAAGTAATTGGACAAATACCCACACAAAATCATCATGCGTAATATGTTGTGGAAAACCCTTTGCAATGAATGTCATTATCTTCCTCTGTTGAAACTGATAACACTTAATAGGTCCAGTCTGGCAACTCTTATGGAAAAATGACCAGGGTGCGTATTCAGATATTGTTAAAAAAGTCGGCATGTTCAGATTCTGTCAGATTAATGAAATGGAATGCAGCCCCTCAAAGGAACTATTTTGAAATATAACTTCATGTCAGTCTAAATGGCAACTGAACTCAGTCAAATATGAGCCACCTGTGTGCTCTTCACTGCCTGAATTAACATTGAAATGACACACAGCAGCCCAGGGAACATCTGGTAGCCAAGTGTGCAATTACTTAGGAACTAGAGATGCACCGATAACAATTTTCCAATTTCCATGTTTTTTTAAGTCTGACCTGCCGATTCTGTTTTCCTTTTTTTCTAAGAACTGCAATTGACAGCATACATAGACATTTTTGTAACTTTTCTTTAATGAAAAATTGTCTAAAACTTATTACATTTTCTGTCTTTCTTTCACTCTTTTCTTTCTTCTTTTAACAAACCTCCAACAAAAAATGAATGACAGTATTTATACCTCTCCAAATGCTGTAATAAACAGGTGCTACAGGTACCAGAATCAGAAGAATGTCGTTACTATTGAGCACACAGTTATTTTTCAAGTGTGTAGTTTGTATAATGCTGTGTTTTACCACAGCTTGGATAAACTGTACATATACTTGCATTTGATGTGTACCTAGTAGGGGTGTGATGATAAACTTATTTTACGAGACGAGACAATACATGATATTGGGTTCACAAGGACGAGATGATATTTTAACACTATTTTTAAGAAATCTTCAAAGACAAAATATATGACTGGAAAAATAGTATTTTATTCAACTGAAAGTAACAAAATACAAAACACTCCAGGTTCCGGCATTCATCATTCACGTAAAAGGCTCTATGAGTGAACTCCTTTGTGACAGACACATTACTAACCCACACAGCCCCGTGTGTTAAAACAAAGCAGGAACTGCATTTTTGCCAGACTAATATGAACGTACCGTAACTTTGCCATCGCACTCTGTCATACTGGCTGCTGCTCTGGTTCTCTTACAGTATTACTGATATCGCAAGACAGCTTTTGCCTTGACGAGAAATATTGTCACATTTTAATATCATGAGAACTCATGGCACAATATTTAAACTAGATTTAGCACATGGAAATACCAGTACAGTAACAGTGGAAGCGTATCTTACAAATGTGTGGCTTTTTTTGTTTTGTTTTGCAGGTAGCATTTACAACAAAGATTTATCACCCAAATATAAATAGCAATGGCAGTATCTGTTTGGATATTCTACGGTCACAGTGGTCTCCTGCACTAACGGTGTCTAAAGGTAATTATGGTTTCCTTTTGTCATAACTGTATTAAATGTAACAACAACAACTATACTGTTCCATTATTGTGAATGCTTTCTTTGTTTTAAGAAGCAAAATTCTTAGATACAGTCAGTGTTGGCTTTACAGTTGCATTTGAATTGACCATTTGGAGTGTACACAAAATACTATAATTTAAAGGCTCGCTATCTAAAGATCTGAAAACACTGTGTACTTCATGAAACTGTTGTGGCACTTCACAGCAATATGAAGGCATTTCATCTACACAACATAAATATTTTCATTGCTTAACTCTGGTGCACACAACTGGATGTTTAATATAACATATATCAGTATTTAATAATATATTCTTGGTTGAAAGTGGTAATTTTTATTATGGAAATGTATGTACTGTATATCTTAATGTGAACATTCTGGCATTTTCCTGAACACTCAGCTGTATCTCATGTTCTTCATTATTCATTGGAAAGCTGCTATATTAGGCTGCATTACTTTTGTCTAGCTAAATAAACTGGCAGTATATAGTTGAATGATAAAGTTTGGGTACCACTGGTCAAATTCTATGTTTAGTTGATCTTTGAAGTATTGTTAATGCAGTCAGTTGAATTGTCATAACTGTATAAAATTCAGTCATATGTTTATTATTATTTAAAGTAATTTCTTTCTTTTAATGATTTTGAGATTGCAATTCATGCTTTTATAACCTCTAGCCTTGACTATTGTAATGCATTATACCTTGGTGTTAATCAGTCGTCTCTCACTTGTCTTCAAATGGTCCAAAATGCCATGGCTCGTCTTTTAACAGGTACCAGGAAATTTGACCATATAACTCCAGTACTGGCCTTTCTTCACTGTCTTTCGGTCCGTTTTCAAGAATTCAAGATTTTTATTTGCCATTTATGCATAAACAGACAGTCTAGGCATATAGGAATTCTTGTGCAGCTCTCCTTTGGAGTCAGGTAAGGAGTCAAAAGCCAGAAAGAACATTTAGTCTTAAAATAAAAAAGTTACATAAAGGCAACAAAGTATTAAAACACAATACACAAAAATAGGATAATAGTATTTTCCCCAGTGAACTTCAAACATCACACTTAGTAATTCACATGGTGGAGTTGGATATGTCATTACGCTTGGTGAGGTAGTGAGGGGTTATTGCACATATACAGTCAGGGAAAAAATTATTTGAACCCCAGCTGATTTTGTAAGCTTGCCAGCTAACAAAGAAATGATCAGTCTACAATGTCAATGGTAGGTTTATGTGAACAGTGAGAGACACAACAATAACAAAAAAATCCAGAAAAATGCATTACAAAAAAAAGTTATAAAGTAATTTGCATTTTCATGAATGAAATAAGTATTTGATCCCTTTGCAAAGCGTGTTTTAGTACTTGGAGGCAAAACCAATGTTGGCAATCACAGAGGTCAGACGTTTCTTGTAGTTGGCCACAAGGGATTTTGACCCACTCCTCTTTGCAGATCCTCTCCAAGTCATTAATGTTTCGTGGCTGATGTTTGGCAACTCGAACCTTCAGCTCCCTCCACAGATTTTCTATGGGATTAAGGTCTGGAGACTGACTAGGCCACTCCATGACCTTAATATGCTTCTTCTTGAGCCAATCCTTTGTTGCCTTGGCCGTGTGTTTTGGATCATTGTCATGCTGGAATACCCAACCACG